TTGACTCGACTTTCATCTTTCAAGTGAACCATTCGTTAACTATTAATGAATACTCATTTGGTCATATTCAAATCTACCATTCGTTAATAGTTAACGAATCTCGTTTGAAATAAATGAATCAGTCTATCAGTGTACGCGATGTATTTGTAATAGAGTTTCAATTTTACACTTTGGAATTTTATCCTTCCAGTTGAAGAATTTAATAAACTTTTCTAATGGATGTTCATTCCGAACATTCCACGCTTCTTTACTACTCTCAACACCTACATCATCGAGCCACAAAAACTGCCCTGCATTTTTCAATAGAAAAAGTTTACTCATTTCACTCGCTTCACCCAAAACTTTGACGTTTCTGCTTAGTTCATAATCCTCTTCATTGTTACGATCCCTATCACATTAGAAGGTCTTTTCAGCGATTATTATCTCGCGATTGACGGATATCACGAAGGAAGGAATTCAAGAGATAGACGATAACGCCAGACATCACGGCATGGAGGGTGGTTGTTCTCATTTACGACGATTGAGTGGGGATTTAACTGTTTATTACTGTTGGCACAGAATCGAGATATTTTTAGCATTGAATTGAGGAGAAAATTCCACCCTGACACGGACCCTTTGCATTTTTATCTGTGATCATTGGCCCAGAAAAATTGGCAAAGCTCAACGTCTGAAGCAGACCAAAGAAGAAAGTTAAAGTTTCTGTTATTTTTGGCCATTATCCAGTGGTCCTTTCCAAAAGATTAAATTTCTCAAGAAATTAAAATAATCTCCCGATATTTTCCCGAATGACAGAAGACAACAATAAAAGTTGCCCCATATCCCTCAGTATCCAGCGTAGCCATCGATCATGCGTCTCTATTGGAGTGAAATTATCGTTCTCAATCCCTGTCTCATGTCGGATTAAATACGCAGGGTGGATAAATTTCCAAAAAAGCGCAAAAATCGTGCATTAACATAAGCGGCTTACCGAGGGACAGCAAACAGAGAGTGAGATAGAGCCGACCAAGAAAAAAGGGGAAAAATGAATTGTTCACTGTTTCTCTATTGGTCGTATGAAAAACCAGACTCGTGTGGTGTCACACGCAGCTGGTTGTCGGATTCCATCGAATGTACACTCACTCGCATGCTCACAGTACCGAGGGATTAATCCTATAAATACGGAAATTATCGGGGATTTTTCCAGGGACAAGGAAAGACGAGGATTTAACACAGGGGCAAACGCGTGCCGCGCAGTGTGCGATGACAGGAGGACATAGTCGAACACGTTTAATAACTTTTAGGGGGTGAATGAGGAGTTTTTTCGATCGATCGATTTGAGGAGATTCAATTTCCCAGAATGCTAGAGGGGGAATCACAATGCACACTTTTACGTGTCTTAAATGAAGATGATTCTGAGATATGCCTTTTTTTATTTTGGGCAAGTTATGACTTTTAAGATCAAAACAATATCGAGATACGTCCGTCAAAAATGAAATTCTGAGATAAATCCGTTTTGATTAGTTCTTTACACGGAGAGAAATGTTCAGTAAAAATTATGGAACTCAATTCGCTCACCGATTACGGAATGGACTCAGAAAATTTAAGTGACGGTATCGTAATTTTTCACACAAGATTCAGATAAAAAATACGGAACGATCTAGAAAAATTCCGTGACAGTTCCGTAAAATTTCCTACAACCACATTTCGCTCCGGAATTACGGAAAAGATACGTAATTTTTATTGAATATTTCTCTCCGTGTAAGTTGAGTCTTTTCTCCTAGGATGTTTATTTCATCTTTCAAATTAATAGTCCGTATTTGCTTCTGTTCACAGTTTTCACCGTTTTGTATTGACTACACTAGGTTCAAAAATTCTCAATCATTATTCCACAAGTCATTCGAACTATATTCTGAAAGAAAATTATTTTTCAAAGATTCCCTTCTTACCAATATGTTATAAACTTTGTTTCTATTTTTGGAGATGAAATCTCCATTCTTGGGATGAAATCAATTGCTGGTAAAATCCGGGTTTTTTAATATTTCTTAATATTCAAAAAATGATGTTTTGAGTGATAAATTGTTTGTTTATAAAAGAATCGTGTACCTACAAAAATGATTTATTGAAATCAAATCCAGAATATTGTGTTACTAGTGCGTAATTTTACACGCGACCATTTACGCATGTGTGCGGAACACCAACACTTTACGTCCGCTAAACTGTCCCAGAAATTAAACTTTTCTGGTAAGTATTGCAAAAAATGAGTTTACTTAACACTCCGTTGGTTGCGCAAAACTTAGGAATGCTGTTGGTCGCGCCATAATCGTCGCGCCGCACCAGCATATATCGATATAATGATAAATTTGATAGATCTAGGAAAAATCTGAAAAAATTTAGAGTGATCTAGATCATATACTTGAAGAAGTTCCGTGGGATTTTTCATGTTCAATGTTACCCTTAATTAAATATTCAAGCTCAAAGTTGCCACGTTTTTCTAAAAATTTGCCTTACATACACGACCCAGAGTTTTGGAATCAAAATTTGAAAATCTAACTACTTATGATATTTTCCTTTATAAGGCCTTTAGACACTTCAAAGTGAGATGTCAAATTTTTTTCAAATTTTTCTGAGGCTTCACTCATAATTTACAAATTATATGGAACAGTAATCTAAAAATAATCAGAAAGTTAGCAGTCCATGTTACCCTATACCTTTCCCCTCCCTCAAGAGGATGAACGAGAGGGCGAAATGTATACCTATTTTACTCCCAGCCCCCCCCCCCCCCCCCCCCCCCCNATAAAAAATTACAAAGGGTTGGACGTTCTAAAAAGTTTAAAGGGTCAAAAGGGAGGAACGAAATATTTCATGAAAAAAATCCAAAGTTGTTAGGGTCACACAGCACAAACGAATAGCGTGGTTACTGCACAGATTTCTCCTATTTGACCCCGAAGACTATTTGGCTGTTTAGAATGAAATTATCTAACATTTCACTTTGCCCCAATCTCCTCGAATAATTATTGCATATTTTTCTTCGAATCTGTTTCAAGCAAATTTCATTTTAAAAAAGGGATAATATATTTTGTAAAAAAATTTTAAGGGTTTTTAAAAGAAAAAAGGAAGAAATTTCTGTTCCATGGTTTCACCATTAGAGAGCCAATTGTGGAAAAAGCACATATGTACTGGAGTAAAGTATTACCGAAAGTTAGGTCTGAATGAGTCTTAAATTATCTAGATTTCACGTTTCCTAGATTAGGTTCAGGGCCAGTTTGTTCGTGTACCTTTCGCTCTAAAGGCCCGTTTTTGTCATTCCGGCCGTGAGGCAGCGCTTCACGGACGCTCCGCTCCGCGTCCGTGAATCTCTGCCTACGGCCGTCATAACAAAAAATACTGTTCGTCATATGGCCAAAAAAAACTTTTCTAGCTCATATGATTGCAGCCCTCGCCTTCGGCTCGGGCTGCAAACTCATATTCGCCAGAAAAGTTTCTTTCGGCCTAGTGACGAAATATACTATTAACGAACAGTCTGTTTGCCCAATCATCCGTTTCGCCAGGGCGCTGCATGTGTTATTTCAATGGACCATTAGCTAAAGCTCCGTTTGCAAAACGGACCTTTAGGGGAAAAGGAACATAAACAAAACGGCCCTCATACGGCCTTTTCCCACTTAATTGGCCTAAAATCCCCCACGTATGAAAAAATCCTATAGGAAATCCTATGGAGAATTCGAACATTTTCTATAGGATTTTTCTGGTGGAATTTCCTATAGGATTTCCCATAGGATTTTCTATAGGTTTTCCTATAGGATTCCCTATAGAATTCACTATAGGGGTTTCTATAGAAAGTAACATTCAAAATTGAGACTCGAAACCAATCGATCACAAGGGTCAGGATTAGGGTCATAAATCTGATAGGAAATTCTATAGGGAATCCTACAGGAAATCCAGTGGGAAATCCTATAGGAAATGTTCGAATTCTCCATAGGATTTCCTATAGGATATCCTATAGGAAATCACATAACATTTTTCCATACGTGCCAAAATGGGCAATCCGACATTATTCCACATCGCACTCGCATATTATTGAAATAAACGTATTCTCGTACAAACCCCGTCAAACTGAAGATAATGCTGTGTATGATGTCTCATTTTGAAGAGTTTTTCATGTTCTTTGAATGTGCCAAAGGGCGATTTAATAGCTTGAAACCCCGCAGAAATATTGAGACCAATTTGGAAAAAAAAATTGTTTTGGACAAAAACTAGTTATTTTCAAAAAATCATAACTCTCTCAATTATCAATATTTTTCAATTTTTCTTTTTTCAAAATTTTTGTTTAATCGCCATCTCTTCAGAAAAAAATTGAGACAAAAGTCCCCAGCATCGACTTTTAGATAATATTACCCAACTAGTGAAAAAAATTCTAACTAGCTATAATGCACAGTTTGGGAGATAATAAATAAGATAATAAATTAAGTACGCGAGGCATACTAAAGGCCAAATGGAGATTATGAGTCTTCTTATTTGATTCAAACCGTTGTTGTTGCCTTCATCAACAACATATGAGGATAGAAAAACTCAATAACTTATGAGAATGCATTAAATTAAGTAATTTAGAATGTTTTCCGCAAATCCATAGGGACTAACTTGTAGGTAGGTGTTATTGTCTTGGGATTACCTTCAGAGACTTGGCGCAACCACTACATTTTTGTAAAACAAAGGATCTCCGTGAGTGGGAAATCACATTGTTTGTTTCTTAAATTTGTCAGTCGCAGTGAAAAGCGTAATGGGATGTTTTACGTTACCGCGAGAAATTATTCTTTTAACACTCGTCGATTGGTAACGTAACAATTGCTGGAAAGAATCGACTCATTCCATCCCAGCGTCGAACAACGCGTTGTCTCCCTCGTCGCCACCTAGCTTCACAACAATCGGTATATACCCCCCACTCACTCCATACCAAAGATGGCGCTGGAAAACTCTGAACTTCCGTAAATCCTCGGAAACGTTCGAGTGCATTCGAGTGACCTCGACAAGCGCTGAGAAGGCACTCATCACGCGCTGATCGTGTTGTGTCTGTTTTTTTTAACCAATTTCTTGTGTTTTGTGATTAAAAATGCCGAAAAAATCCAACAAATCACAATGGGGCAGTCGCAGATCCGAGGACAAGCATTATTTCGGTGAGTCCGACCCTCAGAACATACAATTTTCAGTCTCATTGTCAACCTATTTTCGTGGCCATCTGCAACATCGTCATTTCACCACCACCATCCGCATTTGTAACCTGCTTTTTCCGTATGCCCATTCACAATCATCATAATAATCGAAAAAAATATGTTCATTCATGTTTGCAGTGCACGACGATCGTGTGCCAAGAAGTACAGACACTGAGATGAAACAATTCAGCGGAGTAAATAGGCCGAGAGTATCATTCAAGAATCAATCGCACTCGCGAAACGAGAAGCGTGCTTTTTCGAAGAATTTGGAAAGGGCTATAAAAACGAGCCTCGATGATGACGTTACTATGTCCTCAGGGACGAATAACAATGGACGAGCCGTGATATTCCGTGGTCGTGGTAGGGGAGTTGGTCTCAGAGGACGAAATAGTCCTGTTGCCAGGGCATCGAGACTTCGAGTTCTCATGAATAGGGACAAACAGGGGCCCATTGGGGACGCCAACTGGTACAAAGTGATCATACCCTTTGGCAACAAATACGACAAAGATTACCTCATAAATAGCCTTGCGAGCCACATGGAAACCCCATTCATACCCATAATGTATAAAGCCTTCGACAAGGACATTGTATTCTTCATTGATGATCAGAAAATAGCGAATAAACTGCTCCAGTGCGACAGGCGAATCACAGATCTTGATGGTTTCAAAATAACTGTGAGAGTTAGACCTGGATTTCCTCAGATTGAAGTCGACGACGCACTCAAGGAGAAAATGAAAATGGCTATGGCCAAGAGATACGTTCCTGAGACCAATGCCATAGATCTTTCACGATTTCATGCTGATCCAGAACTCGCTGCTGATCATTTCTGCGCACTATTCAGACCTGCTATGCTTATGACTGTACTCGATATCGTTGCTGAGAATCTTCCCAACTTGGAGGCCTTAAATTTGGATAATAATAAGCTGCATGTCATTGAGAGGCTCAATGTGCTGAACAAAAAATTTCCAAATTTGAAGATTTTGTATATTGGAGATAACAAGGTAATTGGAAATGTGTTTTTAATGAGAATGATGCAATCGAGCCTCGTTTTTCATTCATCATAATGATGACGATCTTGATAATTGCAGATAAGGGAAATCAACCAGATTGACGTAATCAAAGACTTGAAACTCGAGGAGCTGAAACTAGCTGGAAATCCGGTTTGCAACAAATACAGGACGAGGCAGGATGATTATGTCAGGTACTGTGATTCATTCATTTTTATGGATTCAATAGGATTCATTGGATTTTTAGATGAAGTATTACAGGGGATTGGATGATTTTTTTTTAATTCAATCATGTAAGTCAGTAGGTGATGAATTTAGTAATTCTAGCCCTATAATTAATTGTCAAAAATTATTTTTGTTTTATTACGATTAACGTGGAGCTTCCGTGCTTCTGGCTTTTATTTCGTGTCGACAGTGACGTGAGGAAGAGATTCCCAAAGCTCCAGAGATTGGTGAGTATTGAAGAGGAATGGATGAATTTGACTAGTGGGGTGTAGAAAAGTTTCTCCGATGGCAAAATTTAAAACTTATCCCAAGTGCTTTATCTTTAAGAGGTGAGATATTTGACGCAAGAAATTAGTTTTCTGAGAATATGTCGATATTTCTCTTAGTGAAGGACTGTACATCCACTTGATTGCACCTTGACTATACAAAATTTTGGAGATTTTTGCCATCGGACAAACTTTCCTACACCTGACTAGTGGAATTAAATTTGAATAATTTCTGCATTTTTGGGTGGACGTTTGCTGTTAATTTTGACAGGATGGGACTGAATTGCCACCGCCAATTCTCTTCGACGTGTCAGATGATTCGGTTAAACTACCACCCACTGAGAGGATCTTTGTTGCTAATCCCAAGGCCCGGGAGATTGCAAATCAATTTTTGCAGCAGTACTTTATGATCTTTGACAGTGAGTCACGTCAACCACTGCTGAATGCGTATCATGAACACGCGTGCTTCAGCTTGTCGATCACACCTTGTCCAACAATGAATAAGTAAGTTCGTTAAATAGAAATGATAAAATTCAATTATGTTATAATTTAGAAGAATTATAAAAGCTAGTGCGTTTAGTGGTCAGCCTTACGGCGGTCCAATTTTTCTCACTGAAAATGCCATTTGGTCACGATAAATGCTAGAAAATACTAGAATATTGTGAAGCATTGTGGAAGCAATAGAAGTCTAAGAAAAATTATGCAAAAATTTCCTCGGAGTAAACTGCTATATCGCTCTGGTATTTTCTATAATTTCCCGAAGCATTAGCTTCTGCATTAAACGCGAAATTCTTAAAGATTTGTAGAACATTCCAGCACCGGAATATTGGACAGTCTTCCAGACGATCCGTGAATTTTTCAGAGAAGTCTGTACCGTTCTGGAACTTTCTTGAAGTGTTTAGGACCTTTCATGAATTTTCGGAGAAACGGACATCTGAAATTATATAGTTATATAGAGTAGGGTACACAATTGCGTTCATCGTTTGAAAAAAGATATAAAAATACTCAATTGTGTTCGTTTTGCCACAGATTCAGTTCTTACACTGCTGACAATAGGAATCTACTTCGTTCGTCTGATGCCTCAAGGAGAAGGAAATTGTTGAAACAGGGGAGATTACCTGTTGTAACTTACATCTCCGAAATGCCAAAAACCCAACATTACTTGAACAGTTTCACGATGGATATTGGACTTGTCACAGTAAGTAACAAAAAATAACTCAAAGAATTGCCGAAGATTTTTATTGTCGAGATATCTCAGTAAACAGCAATTTCAAGGAAAAAAGTCAGTTTACTTGTAAAATATGCTAAAATATTCCTTTTTAATCAAAGCTGTTCTTCATCCAGTCAATTGTCTAAACAACGTAGATTGCATATACGATTCGTTCTTTCAGTTGACAATTTGAATTACACTGAAATGCACACGAACATGTTCTCAAACAGGTTTTGTTTGAATAGAAAAAATCTTGTGTTGAGTATTGGAAGTGTCCTGAGATGGAAAATTTCAGTCACAAAAATTATAAAATAGCTGTTGCAAAAAATTGTTATTTTCCGTACAAGGAGGCAATATCACTTCTAGAAATGTTTATCCGTCATACTATACCACAGGTATTTGTTTTTCGAAGAATGTTCGTTTCAGACGAATCAAGGGGGAGTCATGTTTCGCTTCGGTTATCGAATTCTTAAGTAGAATAATAGCGATATAATAGCAGCCATGTAATTGAGTAACAACCCATTTGTTGATGAACTTCACAATATTCGCCTCTCGAATATTCCCCCTTTTTGTAATTGTATTGTTCAGAGCGCATAATTGATTTACACTATTAGAAAATTTTCTCTTAATATTAATCTAAATATTTTCACTTCTTTTTTTCGCTCCCTTGTCTAACGTTTTGAGGTATTTAGTCTGCCATTCACCAAGAATTTCGTCAAAAGGGGGATGATTGAGTTTGTAAGCAAAACTTTACCATTGTCTCATTTCTCTAATGAGTACTGTCCTTTCATTGTTCAGGATGATCAGTGCTACAGAATATGGTGAATGCTTCGACTTTCATATTTTGCGTTGTTGAAAGCAGAACGATGATTCATGTTTAACGCCTTTGGTCATTTATATCATCATTAATTTGGGCAAAATTAGAAATGCATAATTTCGATTATAAATGGCGACCTCTCATTCGTTACCATGGGGGAAGAGAGGATGAGATGATGAATCCTTTGTCACAACACTGATCAATGGAAAAAGCTCTTCGAAATTTTTTGGAATTTTTCCTATATTTTTTCTCTAATTTGTCATTTTCGTGGATTTCTGACATTTTGAACAAAAAAATAATCTAAATGACATTCGAAAGATAATGGAGCCAGGCCGTAAACCGTTTTACCGCTTTGCTGCTGATTTCTTTGGCTCAAACGAGTCTTATTTAAGAACATGTTTGCTTTTCGTTGTACTGAGTGCATTGATGAAATACAAATCAACTTATTATTTTTCTCCGTTTTGTGAAGGATGCACTGATGCTGATAACCATCACTGGATGCTTCAAAGAAACCGCTACTAAAGAGAATTTTATTCGTTACTTCCACCGAACCTTCATCATCGTTCCCGAGGGCACTGGCTACTGCATACGAAACGAGCAACTCCACTTGTCTCACCCAACAGCAGCCCAAGAGAGACAACTTCTCAATGAAATTCAAAGCTTGCCAGCCCCACCGCCAGGACCATTGCCATCAACCTCAACAGCAGTAGATCCACCAGATCAGCTGAAACAACAAATGACATTGACCCTGAGTCAGCAAACAAACATGAACTTGGAGTGGAGCCTCAAGTGTCTCAAAGAGGTACAATGGAACTTCGATAACGCGTTAGCTGCATTTCAAGAATTCTTCAAACGTGGACAAATTCCTCCGGAGGCATTTAAAAAGTAGAATTATGAGATTCTCGGTTTTTAAGTGTCTATGCAACGATTTTTCATTATCTCCGATGAGGAAAAATATTGTGATATGTGAAAATAGGTACGTGATTGATGTTCACGCACATAGAAAGGAAAAGAATAATCATGGGAGGCATGAACTTAGGCTTCACAAATTTAAGTTCTCTTGATATGCCATTTGCTGTCCCTTTTTAATTGAAATTTTTAATATCAGAAACTAGTGGTTTGTTTACTTAAATTTGTGAATTCAATGGCGTCAACTACGTTAGGATAACTGCTACAAATTGATCCTTGTCACTAACTGCAAATTTAGAAAAATTAAAAAAAAATTTATTCCTGTGAATATGACATATTGTAAAAGTGTCGAGTGTTTTTTTTAGCACTCCAACACTTTGATCAACAGTCGTATATGGATGTTCGATGTTTGCTCGTGGAACGCAAGGACACGGTCTCTCTATCTTTTCATTTCCAATTACGTAATTTCTTTCACATTATTTTTCAAATCAATTCATTACTGATCTGCCAGCAACCATCGAATACCTTGGCAATAGTAATTCATGAAATCTCTCACAAAGAGTGAGAATACATTGAAGATAAATATCTAACTCTTACAATCATGAAAGAAAACTCCTGCTGGAGTTGATGTATATTTTTACTCTTGTTAGGTATTTATCATCAATCAATGAAAAAATTAAACTACTTGATGTCAATCGATGGACGATAAATTTTAATTTAGTTCAAAATCAATTCAACTTATTATGCGAGTGAGCTAAAAAGTTCTCTCAATACGATAAATCGGCGATTAGAGGACGTTGTTTTAAGTCAAACTCATTGCCAAATTATTGAGAAATATTCTTTAAATTTATTTGAATTCATGAAGAAAACAAAAGTGCTCAGGAAAAGCAAATGTCTTCAGGATTGGGAGTGAAGATGGCTGAACTGTCTCAAGTCTCTATTCTCTTCTTAAACCTGCAAAACCAATAATCTACAGATCCTGCGGGACCTCTGCATCGATCTCATCAGCAAGTTTATACGGCGCAATATCAACATATAACTGTCTATCGAGCTTCGGATCGTTCAAGTGTCTTTGATCGGTCCAGCAAGAGAAGCTCAACGCTCTAGTGTTGCTACATCATTGGATGGTGCTCGCGATCTTACTCTTGCGTCGCAGAGTCTGACTCTTGCACTTGTCACAAGATGATATTGAACGCAACATCTGAGCAGTGATGGAAGTTGTAAAATCGCCTCGAAGTGATTGTCATATTGAGGACAGTTGAGCAGGGTCTCTGACATCGTGAGAGTCTCAATCATCATTCTCCAGGTGAAGAATGCTCTTCAAGAACATTTTTTCGTCTGAGGCCTCCCTTCCAGCATAAGGGACATGGAGGTGTCTGCCATTTTCCTGAAGTCAAGAACAACAGTCGAGTTATTGAATTTTGAAATCATCAGAGAGTGACCTCGCTGGAGTAGAAAAAAAAACTGGGTAACCAGGAGCAGTAGATGTAATTCGAAGGCAATGAATTTGTTTCTAACAACATCTTCCTATCGTCGAAACAATCGTATTGTTGTTGAGCTGGCTAAACTCACATATCTACGTTTTTTGTTCTTTTTCCTTTGTTTTTTTTTAGTTTAAATCTCTCGTAATATATAAAATTAACTTAAGAATTATTATATTGTTGTTCAATAATGTAAGCCATTCTTGAACTTTGAGGAGATCTACTTGAGAAGATAATGACAAATTTTTCTAGTTTTTACTGAATATTAGTTGATTGATCAATTAATTTCGAGTTAAGTTCTCGAATATTGGAGTGGAGTATCAGATGGTACAATTTGATAAATAATTAGTGCTGAGTAGGAAAAGTAATTGAAAAATTGTACGAAATTTTAGTTTGTATGTCCGTGTTCATCAACAATTTTTTTTCTTTTTTTTATTTAAATGTACCTAAAACTTTTGGAGATAAGATAGCAAACACAGAGTGTCTATTTGAATACACTGTACTGTCGGTGACACCAATTGCTTGCAAGCTGGTGACATTGTATGTTACAAAAAAAATTAATAAAATAATAAGATAATGCAATAAATTGAAATAAATTAACTTTCCATAAATACTAGTTATCACTTGATTTATCACGACAACAGGGGCTTTTCAGAAATTGCTGTTTGAAAGGCGTCTGGTGTCTTTATGACCATCGCTATCCTTCATTTCGTTCATCTTCTCCTTCTGTTCCCTTTTGAAGAAACCCATCTGCAAGACAAAGGTCGTAAAATCGTTTTGTAACGTCTAAGAATAATTTTTACACGAACATATGATATTTACCAGTCTCAAGCCAATTGCAATTAGGAATAATGCCAACAATCCTAGCAGAATACATCCAGCTATAATCCACACAGTGAGTCGACTAGTTGGAGCAATTTTTATAAATGTTGTCGTAACTTTTGTGACATTTCTACAACGAAAAATTCACTAATAGAAGCTGCATTTATCTCTGGGCTGAAGTGACAATTTCCTCGAAATTGATGCTCTAATACATTATTAAGGGGGGTCACAGCACGTTTTTCAAGTACCAAAAGTATTTGAAGAAGAATTCAATTTTTTTTTTATATCAAAAATGAGTGTAGGCAAGAATATTATGAAATTTGAATTTTTTACTAACATTTATTTTCTATTCAACCGAAGGAATCGAGTAATTTCAAATTCCATGCGATTGATTCTACGGACGATTATATGGAATACCCACAAACAAATTCGTTAAAAAATATTGGAAATTATAAGACTAGTAGGGCTTTTACAAGTCAAAATTTTTCAATATTTTTCAACGATTTTTTTTTTGTATCTCTCCATATTATAAGAATCCAAATCGACTTCTGGTGATTAAAATTTGATATTCGCAATTAAGGGTCATGAGGATCAGAATAAAGGCCACAAGGGTCAGGAGGGTCAGATTAAGAGTCACAAGGGTCCAAATGAGGGCCACAAGGATCAGACTGAGGCTTATGTAGGTAACAAGGGTCAGATTAAGGATCATGAAGGTCAGATTAAGGGTCCAAGTAAGGGTCATAGGCGTCAGAAAATAAGGATCTCAATATCTCTCTATATTGTAAAATCGACTTTTGGTGATGAAAATTTGGTGCTCGAAATTAAGACTCCAAAATTAAGGGTCAGAAATAACGGGTCAAAATAAGGGTTACGAGGGGTATAATGAGGGTCATGAGGGTCAGAATAAGGATCATGCGGGTTGACGAGCGGAGCGAGCGGGGGGCGCAGCCCCCTAGTATTTGATATGGTCCTCAGCTAAAACAATCGTATAGAATTCGGAAGTACTCGATTTCTTCTGGTGAATAAAAAATAAACCTTATTAAAAAATGAAAATTTCATGATATATTATACCTGCACTTTTTTTATAAATGAAGAAGAAATGTATAAAAAATGGCCGAATTTATCCATCAAATACTTCTGGTACTTCACAAAAGTTGTGTGATCCCTCGCCCTTGAAGCCCCACAAAAATTTGAAAAGAATTCCCCTGTGATCTTGAAGTGTAACCCTAATTGTAGGCGTATATGCCAAAATTTTTGTCAGAAGAATTTTCTGTGATCAAATATTGTAATTTTTATGTTGAAATTCCATGGCTCACCCCACAGTAGCGGAGCCAATGCAGAACGCAGAATTTACCGAAAACTATTCAACCGCAGAAATCAAGTTGAACTCATCACATTTCATAAGTTCGATACAAAATTCTTACCCTATCCCTGGAACTGTCCAATTAACAGGTTCCGGAAAATCCACCCACGCTTCCGTGATGACCTCTATAATTCGACTATTATCATTGAATCCATAATTTTCCATTAATTGCGAGAGATTCATGGAGAATTGTAATCTCAGACTGGCACTATCGCGGTCGGCGTTCAAATCACCAACATCACAAATAATTGTGCCACACTGAATGTTCGTAGAAGAGCAGGTCAAGGTACTTAAATTAGACCCGGATGTGGTCGAGGCGGAGAATCTTCCCGAGTTATTAGAAAAAATACCATTTCCTGGGATCTGCAATGGCTGTAAGGTGGAGTCTGTGGTCCGTTTTAAACGCGAATGATTACTATTTGCGTTTAGCTTGATTTTTTCCGTATCGTCCGAGCCCATGACATTGACAATATCCCCTTCACCCTGTACAATAGGAATATTTTGGATGGAGCATTGAGAAAGTCTTCCTATCGCCAACATCTGTGAATAAAAAATAAACAGATGATGCGATTATTTTTAAGGGGAGAAATGGCCAAGTCTTCGGTTGCCGAAGAAACGATGCATGATGGGACATGTCGCAGACGATAGAGGTGTTAAACTCAGTTGATTTTTCGTTTTTGCCTTGAAAAATCTCATCGGCCGACAGATTTCATTCGATTCAAACTTTTCCCTTGTTTTAGTACTCGTTAAACTCCAAAGGATAAAGTTGGGCATTCAATTAACTTATTTAAAAAAAAAAAAATTATGAAAATCTAACCATCGGCTTATTCATCAAAGCTAGAAACTCCATGTCCCCAACTCGATAAGGAACTTTGACAGTCAGCCTAGTGGTCGAAACTGGCGTGAATCCAGATTTCGAAATTTGATACAAATGCTCGAATGAAATATTTCGAGTGCTGTCCTCGGCTGATAGAACGTCATAGCTCCGCTCATTTGCACGTCTGCAAAAATCTTTATTTATAGTACCTCTCGGCATTTACAATAATGACTAAGTTTGGGACACTGACCCTTCCAGAGTGAGTGACGCATTAGTTCGGAGGAGGAGAAGGAACTCAACAGATGAATCACCATGCTGTCGACTCCGGGTTGTGACTGTTGCCTTGAAAGTCAAATTGGTATTGGCGTGGGAGCCATTGTTGATTTTACCCATGTTTAAATCGAAAATTAACGTATTCTGGAAGAATAAGGAACGGTAATTAAGGTAATAGGTTTGAGTTGAGCTAAAGAAACCTGTGTGAATCATCAATATGTTTTGCTCTAATGATGTAAGATCAATGAACTCATTTTCTTTCGTTTCGAACCGCAGCAGAAAAACCAAAAAAGCAAATTCCATTCAGACTTCAGTTTCCGATGACTGTCGCGGGATTGGAGAGCAATAACAAAATTTTTTGTAGCTCTCATTTCGGTGTATAAATAATTCCTCATCAAAATTCTCCTCGGATTCAAAGATATTCATTCAAAGAAACTTGCCCCACACGTACAAAAGAATGTAATGGAAAACCTGGCAAATAAGCTAGAAAATTCTATTGAACTTTCTATTCATTTTGACCAACTTTATGACTAAATTCCGTAGCTTATCTGCGCGTTTCTTTTCTTATGCCATAAAATTCAATGGAATTCGATTTTTCTACACAATTTGTTTAATCGGGATATTTTCTATAGAAATTCCACCGGTCAAATTTTTTTACTTTGCAGTTTTCCTATAGAAAAGAGGAATTCTTGTAGAAAATGTCTCAATAGAAGAAGTTGTGTAGAAAGATGAAATTTTACTGATTTTATATATAAAATAGTTTCTAGTTGACATTTTTAATAAAGAAAAACACGCAGCGAAATTCTTCAATAGCATCGATCAGGCTAATAGAATTTTCAATAGAATTTTCGATAGATTTTTTAAACGGAATTTTCTCGTGCGTGTAAAGGTAACATTGCCTCATTTTATTTTACTACTTTGTGGCTGGATTCAACTCTACAGATTTTCGGAAAGGATACTTACATGACGACCAGTGAGTAATGGATTCTCTAATTCACAGATAATTTCGGTGATCCCACTGTCCTCTTTCTCTTTACAAGAGTCCAATACACTCCGCAAGAAAGTATTCTTCGGAAGAATTAACGTCAATACCGTTGAATAGGCTGGTTCTTTAGCATTTGATACATTAACTTGCAAAATTATATCCTTGGAGCCTATGATCCAGGTATTATTTTCAAGAGCTTTTCGATTGCTGTTGAAGAATAACTCATAAGTAATTTTTCCAGTATAGTATATTCCAGCAGGGAAGGGGTAAACTCTCACATGTCAAATTTAACATTCTTATTAAGGGGGTACCACAGTGGAGATATCTTGAGATATCTAAAAAGTAAGAAAAGATTTTTTATCCAAACCGTATTGCCCCGTAACCCCACGTAAAATACTGTTAAAAATTTTTGTCAGAAATTTTCGGAAAACTTTTCGGTAATTTTCATCGAATTCAATTACCACTGAAATTTCAAGGGATTTTGTAATTGAAAATTCAGAATTTCGTGGAAAAATAAAAAAGAACTGTAAATTTCAGTTTCGTTTTTCCCTGAAAATGAATAGAAAACCAGAAAATTCCGATAAATATATTTTTGAATTTTCAGGACACTGACACTGAATGCGATTTAGGGGAAAAAAATCATGAAATTCAATCCCATAGTGAATTCAGATTTTACTGGAAATTCAATGTAATTAGGCACTGAATATTTATATTGGATTGAAAATTTAAGTTTTTTTTTTTTAATAAATGAAGGAATACTCGTCTTTATGCGCTTAAAATTCCGGAATGTTATTAAATTTTCAGCGAAACCTAAATTTTCATGATTTTTTTCCCTTAAATCGCATTCAGTGTCACTTTCCTGAAAATTAGTAGTCAATTGTCCATAAAATTTCATTTTTTTTTCTAACAGTAGACATCGCTTTTCGTCGGTCTCGCAATTGAATTGTCTAATTTCAAACAACAGAAACGAAATTAACTACTTGGGAAGTGTATTACAATGAAACCAATAAAGTAGCTCATTCGTTCACAAATGAAATAGCTTAATGTTGTCACAGATCCAAGGACTAATCACGCTCAACGCTGCAAGAAATTGACGTTTTTTTATTGAAGGATGTTTATTGTTATCATAGCCGAATGGTAAGCAATTGTAGGTTTTACGTTTCTCTAATAAAGGAAAGATTTCTTATCTAGAGTGATTTCATATTTAAAAAGTCGTTCAACGACGTGCTTTATTGAATTTTACATTTCTCCAATAAAGGAAAGATTCCTTATCTAGAGTGATTTGATACAAAAAAGTCGTTAAAGGCGACAACTGACGCGCGATATGGCTGTTGGTTGAAATTTTCGATCGTGATCCGGTCGAAAATATAAAAAACCAACTATTGTTAAAGATGACGGAAATTTCATGGAGTAGAATGATTTTTTTTTGCCGCAAAAGAAGGAAATTGTAAAAAATCTATATGCTTCACTCCAATTTGTCCACTTTCGAGAATAACTGTTTGACTAATAATGGGGAAGAAACAGTTAACTACTTGAGAAATGAATGAAAACGAGACTATCAGGTGGCTCATCAGCAATAAAGCAGAGCCACCGACGCGTGGTCGCAAGCGCTCCTTTGACCACGCTCAACGCTGCTCAGCTTCAGTGTTCGGACGAGAACATTTTTATGAATAAATATTTATTATCTAGTTGAAATATTCATACATATGTAGCTTACGTCTAATATACAGGGTGACAAATAGAAATAGGTGAAAATTAAACTATCATAGTTTTGTTGATTGGTGTAGAAAAGGAAGGACCATCATATTTGTAGACACAATAGACTTTGCAAATTTATTTGCAATTAGAGTTCCATTTCATTTTTTTAAAATAAAAATTCACACGGTGAAAGAATTGATCAAACACATTCGAGGGCATATGACTAATGGTAAATACTCTCGAAGTGTCCTCCATCAGAATTTGCGCAATAGTCAAGGCGTTTCTGAAAACTATGGATGACTTCTTCAATTTTAGCTTGAGAAATATTAGAAACACCCTTTTGGATAGCGCTTATCAGAGCCTCTTTTGGCTGAGGATTGTCCGCGTAACAGAAGTCTTTGAGATAACCCCACAAGAAGAAATCACACGGGTTCAAATCCGGTGAATATGGTGGCCATTCCATCCCTGCTCGGGTGAAGCGAGGATACCTTAAACCGATGACGCAATCACCGTATACTTTGTGTAATGCAGTAAACACATCATTAGTTCGATGAGGGTTTGCACCGTCCTGCATAAAATAGAAATCTTTCACCAATCCTTTTTTCTTAGCGAATAGGAAAAACTTGGTTTCCAACATCTCTCGGCAACTCTCCCCTGTAATGGTCCCTTCCAAGATTTTTACATGTATTTGTTTGATCGACAGAGCTGCCCAAACTGTAACTTTAGTAGAGTGGAGTGGTTTTGCTACTGATGAATGTGGATTTTCACTCCCCCAAAATCGATAATTTTGTTTATTCACGTAGCCATTAAGGTAGAAATGAGCTTCATCCAAGAAAATAATTCAATTGGCTTCGATTTCAGCATTTTCAAACATTTGCGTCAAAACTTTGCTGAATTCAAGTCGTTTCCCTATAGCAGTTTGCGTAAGCAAATGGTGGGAAGTGATTTTATAAGGATGAAGTTTGAGGAAATATTTAATTATCAAACGTAGGGTCTCTCGGTTCAATTCTAACTTCTAGGTAACTTCTAGACACAAGTTACCTTTTTGGACAGACATTAGACAGTCTTTTTGGTATACTTGCAGATACCCTCCAGAACTGTGCTACTTGGGTATGTACCGGGTACCATAGTTGACAAAATTATCAATTACGCGACAAAAAAGAACACATTGACTCAAAAAATTTATTGGGGACTAAACTCCAAAAAAAATCGTACAGGAGAACTAAAAAAATCCAACCGTTTAAGGGTGGTTTCACTCCCAATACTGCGACTACCAAACTTACTACGAAAGCCTCTATACGCATTTGTATAATTTTTTTCTCGGGAATAATAGCACTCAATGAGATACACTTTCTTTTCTTCGACAGCAAGCTCACTCATTTTGGAGAATATGAACTAGACTCTGGAGTATCCCAACAGAATTTGCCAGGCTCCAAGTTTTAACCTACAACAGCTCGATCCCTGATAACAAAGTGGAGAGGAAATATAGGGGAAAAGTTTTCACCTGTTCCTATTTGTCACCCTGTACATAGAAATGTTTAACGCGTTGTTTTTACTCATTTTCCTGTTTGCATATCGTATATAAAACTCATCGTTTTGAGTAGTTGAACGCCGAAACAGTACATCAAAGATGTTTAATAGATACTGAAAAGTGACAAGGTTGATGACAAATCCACTACTCCAAAGCAGGGATGGGATATTAGATTTTGACAATATTAAGAAGGATTATCTCCTTCTATTGTTCAAAGTTTAATATATATTTAATAAATTTAAAATATACAATTTAGTCACTAAATTTACGATTGATGATGAATAAAATATTTGATAATATTGAAATGTAATTTTTTGTTAACAAGCTAATTCTAACTTTTAGGTACTTGATTTTCGTACCTAAATTATTGGTTAATAGAATATTTCAAAATTTGAATGTGCAAATTGATGGTCAATTTAATATTTAAAATATTATATTAAGATTTATGTTAAAAATTGACAACTTCACAATTTAACGGTAATTATGATTGATGAATATGCCTATCACTGACTCAAAGCAATGATTCTTATATGATATATGCACAAACTAAATGAATAAGTAAACCGAAAAAATTAATTTTCTCATATTCTATTTGAGATAATAAAGAAAATACCTAGTTTTATTCTCTCCAATCTAACGACCATTGAAAAAAAAAAGTTCAAGTTGAATGAAACTTGCAATGCGAGGACCATTTCAAAGGCAAAAACACAAAAAACGAGGTTTTACATTGACGTATGAGGCAAAATCGGTTGGGCATAAAATATTTGGTATTATTCTAGGTAACCCATGATATATCAAGAGTTCCTTTATGACTATTTTTACCGACCGAAGACTTTAAAGTTTCACCATGATACCCCTTTAATTGGGTTTAAGTGAACTCTACGCACGGCGTGCGGAAAACAACCGCTTTACGCACACTAAACCGTTTCGAAAAGTGCACTTTTTAGGTAAGTATCACAAAAAATCTATATTATTGAAAGGGGTAAAGAGAATGAAATCGGAGTTCAATCTATCACGAAACATAATCCTAATTCATCAGCAACAATAGCTATACTCAGCTACGATAAATGTAATTATGCATTTGCTCTACCTTGCGTAATGGAAAGAACCAGAAATGGATATTAACGAAGTGCAAATTTGATCGTCTCCACAACCAATGTTGAAGGGAATATTGATTTCCTGAGGTTCCGAAGATCCATCATATTCTATGGGGCAGAGGATGCAAGCAACAATACCTAAAATTGGATTTCCAGTATAAAAATCATTATCGATTCCATTGACACTGTCTGATACTCACCACCCTCTTCTGTAATTCTCCAGCCTCCATAAGTGTGCACTACCGTTATAGGAATTGGGTCAATATAATTCGTAATTGTTTCCTGTAATAAAGAAGTTGATTCATCTTGATTGAAAAGTAAATTTTCAAAAGTACATTAGTCCTAATATTTGCCAGTTACCATTAAATGGACAGTCTCATTTAGACACACGGTTGCTTCTGTGTCACCAGACCAGGAAACGTGAGAAAAATGTATACGAGATTTGTTAACACGTTTAAAACTCTCATCGATATTGATAATTAAATCAAAACCTTCATAACAGATATGTAAGGAAAAATTTATTCGGGATCACCTCCTGCCTATACAGGGGGTCTAAAAATAGTTTATCGAAATTTCAAGAGATGAAAGAGCGGGATCAAATTTTCTGTCGAAAGTTCCTCTTTGACATATTGCTCCGGGTGGTAATTAAGAATATCCAAGCCTCTTACAGTTTGGTACAGACCACACTATAAATTCAACTATTTGCAATGATCAAATTTGTCAATTAAATTGCGTGAAAAAGATTTGAAAAGAATCATGAATATTCAGCGTTCTTCAAATTACATTTTGCATTAGAATTTTTTTTTTAAACATTCATTGTTTATAAATAAATAATTGAAATTGTTTAAACTTTCGGAAACCCAATTTTTTTAGGCACGAAATCGATTTCTGGTAAAATTCTGAATATCAATGAATTTATTACGATTCCAAAGAAATGATTTTGATGGTGGAAAACTGATTGTTTATAAATTATTCCCGTAGTGAAGTGGTAAAACGATTTAAGCCGACTTATCTCCCAGTTGAGTTTTTGAAGAATATTTCCGAATCTGAAGGGAGATAGCGAAATTTTTGTGATTACATTTATTGTAGCACTCAATCGACTCTACAAAAAAGGTTATTACAACAGTTTTGCTATCTCCTTTAGATTCCGAGATATTCATTGAAAACTGGCCAATAGTCAAAATTGACTTGTACCGTTTTACCACTTCGCTGCTGATTTGTGAAAAATGCTCGTAATTTTCAAAAATTGCAATTTATAAATCATTTCATTAATCTTTCCCCAAAAGTAAACTTTCTAATTTCTTGTCAGATTTTTAAAATTGATGACGTTGTTCATTTCCATAGTTAACAATAAGAGGAATAATTAATGGGATGTTGGAAGAGTTCAGCAATACTAATTTATTATCAAATCGCGACGTTTCGCTGCAAATCGCAACTTCTTCAGGCTCTTGACAGGTTTAGTACGTAGTCACTATAAACTCTAATAAAATGTGCGTGGAGCAACGACAACATATTAATTGATTAAAAATTGCAAAATACTCTAACAATAACATCGGGGTCTACAGCAACACCTGTCAGATTTTTAAAATATTTTCCAACAGTTCAATATCGAGATTCAAATTCAGACCTGCAAAGTTTAAATAATAAAATCATTGTAAAATGTCCGGAAACTTAGGGTCAAATGGGGTTCAAATGGAAGCTCTGATGTTCGACTACAAATGTAGAAAAGCATTTGACTCGAGAAAATAACCCAAAATAGCCAAAGTACTTGGATATCCTTAAGGGGAGACTACTATGAGTTTTAAAAGTCGTGGGTTATTGGAGTGAGACTTTTCATACGTTGAAGATCGATTATATAGATCTGAAAACGAATAATTAGCGCAAAAAAAAATTTTTTTTATTGTTCGTTTGCCCGAAAAAGCTTAAAATGCCAAAAACAGTCCAAGGCCTCCAATTTTTGAGTTGCGAATGATTTTTTTTTCAAATTTTTCGAAAAAATATGTGGGATAACAATTACGAGCTAAATTTTTTCAATTCACCTCTTACATGGCTAAATTTGCTTTTTTTTGTATTTTTTTACACAAATAGTGAATTTTTTATATGAAAAAAACCTAAATCAGCTGTGTAGGAGTCGGATTCCAAAAAACTGGCTCATAATTGTTGTTCAACACATTTTTCCGAAAATTTTGAAAAAAAAAATCTTTTGTAGCTCAAAAATTGAAGGCCCTGGACTTTTTTTAGCATTTTAAGCGTTGTCGGACAAACGAACAATAAAAAATTTTTTTCTGCACTAATTATTCGTTTTCAGTTCTATATAATCAATCTTCAATGTATGAAAAGTCTCACTCCAATAACCCACAACTTTTAAAACTCATAGTAGTATTCCCTTAACGAGTTATTAATTGATGAAGTTCAAAAATGACAGCAGCATTGGGCTGAAGGCGAAAGGAATAGTGACTGGTGGACAGGAAAGGCGGCAGAGTGAGAGGGTTCCTCTGAAAGAGATATCAGCACCCTTTGAGTTGATTTGGATTGGCTAAATGAAGCAGAACTGATTCCATCACCTTCCCCTCTCGATACCGCTCCTTCTTTAATACAGAAATTAAATTGTTACGAAAATAATTTTGATTGTAACGATGAAGTCAACTGAGATGTAGCTGAAGTTCTTGCGAAAGTGATCTACCAACTTTTTTAATTAATGACTCGTGAATTATACATTTGCAATGGAACTTTCGACTCAGAATTTTATTCTCGTTCATCCCTCAAAATCTCGGTCACGTATTTTGGGACACCCTGTCTGTGACGTGCATCTTACTTTCATGGCTAGGTGAACCGATTTTTGTGTGATTGACACAAACTTCAATTATGAAAGACGTAGAATTTCTATCCAAAGAAGAGGGAATTGTCAATGCTCGAAATTTAGATTTCACTACAGGACGACTATTTAATACCATAGCATAGTTAGACTTGTAGGCACCAATCGCCAAGTCTGGAAAACTGCAACATAAATCACTTGATGACAATATCAGCTTGAATTATCCCTTGAGGAAGAATTCATAGATCGTACAAACCCATTAAAATCAACATCCACGGGTTTTGCTAGAGAAAATCCAAAGGTTGTGGCTGGTGACGTTACTGTAATATTCTGAGAATCCATTTGGAATTTCGATTGTAACGAAGAGTCACCATTGTGAATGTAAACAACACCGTTGCCTTCCCAAGGAGCGCCCACAATTAAATCTACAAGGGAAATGAAAATTGAATGCCATAAAAATCGGTAGGCGGAAAAAATAGCCCATACACCCAAAGCGTCCTAAAACCCACCCAACTTAAAAATTTCCCTTGGTCTATTTTTCCTTTTTCTCGGTCAATTTTTTTCCGGGATTCGTAAAAATCAAATTACCCTAGATGAATTTTTCTTAAAATTTTGTTCATTAATATCTTCAAAGCTCAGGAATAGTACATTACATGCCCGAGTCTTGGAAAACAGATCACCGTCCCTCATGTGCTTGCCATCCTCGCTTTCGGCTCGGAAGGCAATCTTGCACGTGGGGTAGGGTGATATGTTTTCCATGGCGAGGTGTGTATATTAATTTTCGTGTCGAGGGACCTGAAAAACCACATTTTCGTGGCGCTGCGCGCCACGAAATTGGCGTTTTGCAGGTCCCGTGACACGAAAAATACGATACTATATAATGGGATTTTCACCCCGTCGGATGCAAAGTACACATTTTCCTCTCAGGTTGTCGGAGGAAAATTGCACTTGACGCCCACAGCACCTCTTCGGAAAAATTTTCGACGAAAGCACTGCAGTGTTTTTGTATTTAGGGCCCCGTAGGTGATGAGGTAGGGGAAGCGCTCGAGCGACTGCAAATTGAAATGAGGGAAAACGCATGGAAAATGTGTACTTTCCAGGGATAGCCATATCCATAAATTAAAATTACTGTTAAATTATTAAGTAAATTAGTTAATATCACTCTTAAATTTCAATTATTAAAATAATCATTAATTTAAATAGTCAAATTTCGAATTATTCATTAATCCGTAATTGAGTTAGGAAGATTGACGATTATTTGGATCATCGTAAATCCCTTATAAGAAATTTAGTATTATCTACTTAATAGAAGAGTTTTAGTTTCATATTTTTAAATACTTAATTCATTATCATCAATTGGAAATTCAGATTATCAATTATTTTACTATTTTTTAATTTAAATTATTTTTTAATTTAGTATACTAGATTGACTAGTCAATCTAGTCAATAGTGTTGTATTAGATTTCTGAAGTTAATATCAAGTTTTCCGAAGAAAAAGTTTCAGGAATGTACAGGGTGTCCCATAGTATGTGACAAAAGTAAATTGCGTTGTATACCGCAAGGTGACAGCGCAGTCTAAAGTCTAATATATGGTTGCAGTGGAGACTCTCCGCAAATTTCATCCATACTTCAGTCGCTCACGAATTAGAACACTAAAATGGAAAACCTAACCATTGAACAAAAAACATTCCTCATCAAATCATATTACCGAAGAGGAGATTCAACTACTGCAGCAATAAGAGCATTTCATTCTAAGTATGGCACACACACTGGAGTGTCTGATTCGAGTCTCAGACGGTAAATAGAGTGAACGAACTAGATAACCAAAAAAATTTTTTTTAAAGATTTACGCATTTTTCGACCAATTCATGGGTATTTTCAGGTTAATTCAGAAATTTGATCAAAACGGTACACTAGACGATAGGAGGCATGAGAATCCTGGCCCTTCACCTACTGTAACCACAGATGAGGTTATCCGCACAACTGAAGAACATTTTAAAAAATATCCAAATGATACTCTTCGGAAGGCTTCCCAAACCTTGAAAGTCTCGAGAACTTCACTTCACCGTATCTTAAAAGTGTTTTTAAACTTCCATCCCTACAAAATTTCTGTACATCAATTTTTAACTGAAGAAGCGATGGTTCGTCGTGTGGAATTTTGCCAAGAACTTTACAATCTTTTTGAATCCAAGGGGATGAAGGCACAGAATATCATCTTCTCCGACGAAGCACATTTCTACTTAGGTGGCTTAGTAAATAAACCAAATTTTCGCTTTTGGGGGACTGAGTCACCCCACGTCGTTGAAACCAAGTCCTCACACCCGAAAAAAGTTACTGCATGGGCGGCAGTTACCATAAAGGGTGTTTTCCTTGAATTCCTCGAGAGTCGCACAATTAATGCTGACATTTACTCCGAGTTCTTGAAAAAGAACTTCTTTCCTTGGGCACGAAAAAATCAATTAGTCAAGAATTTCTACTTCATGCAAGATGGTGCCGCCCCACACAGGACTACTAGAGTATTTGAAACACTTTTTTCCGTTTACGGCACTCGTGTGTTAGGTTTAGGTTACCCTAAGTATGCCCATGGGGGCATGGAATGGCCGCCTTAGAGTCCTGATTTAAATCCCTGTGATTTTTGCCTGTGGGGTTTCCTCAAGGACAAGTGCTATGAAAAGCATCCGACGACTGTGGAAGAGTTGCAAGACGCAATTAGGGATGCTGTCCGAGCTATTGATGAAAACATAATACAGCGCATCTATACCAGCTTCGAGCGTAGGATAGAGTTCTGTAGTACAAGTGATGGCGGACACTTGGAAGGGATTGTATTATAATTTGCCGAATGTTCTGTGTACAATAAAAAAAACAACAATTATTTACACTTAACCGTATTCAAGTTATTCGCAATTTACTTTTGTCACATACTATGGGACACCCTGTATTGTATTTTTTTATATATAATACATCCTGTGTTACATTTTTTGAAGCCAATCTATTCGGTGTATTGTGTCATTAGATTTTTTATAAATGATGATAGCACACATTAAAGATATTACGATAATGCTATGTTGTTATATTCTATACTATACTATATTATATAAACTATGTATAATATACAATATATAATAGAGTACTATATGTATTATAAAATATAATGTAGATATAAAAAAATTGAATAATAAACTGATAACAAGAATAACATACATGGAGTATGACACAATACTCTGAATAAATTGGCTTCAAAAAACGTTACACTGGATTTTTTATTAAAGGAGGATTTAGACCTTCATCAATGTAAGTCGGAAATTCTTTTAATATTGTAGAATCGGAAGATTGATGGCAATCCCTGGTACTTTGCGTCCGACGGAGCCAAAAGGTTTTCCTAAAGACAACGTTGCCATTCCTCAAGGAATAATCCCACAAAATTACAAGTTGTTATCAAAGTTATTTTGAAAAAAGCTGTTGAAATGTGCTATGTGTTACCATCAAATCCATCCCTATCCAGATCTCCACAGGTCAGTGAATACCCAAAACGGCCCCGCTCCTTATGCCCATTCAGAATGACATCCGCCTTCTCGAATATCAGCCGTGAATTCCCAAGGTAAATATAAACTCTCCCATAATCCTCCCCCCAGTATGGCGCCCCAACGATAATTTCATCAAGTCCATCATTGTTGAGATCGCAAGCTGTTAAACTCGCCCCGAAGTATTCTCCAATCATTGTTCCATCGATCTCAGCAATCACAGTCGCTGGATTTGTGGTTGGATCTATGATAGCAACTCGTCCAATTAAGTGCCATCCAGGGGCACCTCCAGCATACAATAATTTTCCTCTATCGGAGAAATATCCAGAGGAAACGGCGTATCCGAGCATCGCACGATCATCAGCTCTCGAAAGATAAATTGGTCCGCTCTGATCTTTTATGAAGACACTGCCGACTAACTCCTCCTTCGGTGATCCCTTGACCATTTTATTATTTTTATTTGATGTAGCGGTTGGATAGTGCACCGAGAATCCGTGGAGGGGATTGTACCAAAATTCAGTTGTAAAATCTAAATTAATTCAGTATTATTGGAATGTCAATTGGTGAGAGGAATTCATAGAAATTTTTCAGCAAGGAGGTAAAACTGTGAAAGTCGATTCAAGTTTCGAGTAATGCTTTAATGAATATTTCTGAATGAAAGATGTAGTGAAATTTTTACCAGAACATTTTTGATAATCATCCACGAGGAAATGAAATCTTTCAACTAAGGATTTTTGTCCAATTTAAAAAGAATACCCTTAAGTGAAGGTTGAGTTTAACTCCTCGACGATTTGACGATTCCACAGTGTGCGAGTGACGTCATTGCAAAGACTACGAAGTTTCACCCTTCATAAAAAACAGACCGGTCTTGCTACTAGTTTTCGAAATACGGATGCATAGCACCTGATTTGAAATAGTTCAACAATTTTGACTTGGACAATATGACGAAATTCATTCCCAATCGATTAACACCTTCCGGGCGATAGCTCTACGGCTACAATGGGGTGGCTCATCGCCAAACCCCCATTGCTACATTCGCCTTGCATTAGAAACGTGCACTTTGCGCCCGCCCTGGCGGAAAATAGTATGCGCACCTTGGGCGGGTAAAACATGACTTTCCGGCGATGGTGCACAATAAATTATTTTGTCATAACGGCCGTAGGACGCTACGCATCCATAAATCGCTGCCTTACAGCCGGAATAACAAGAAGAATATTCTTGCACTGAGAATCTCTAAAGTTGAAACAACATTCATTACTCAAGAGAAATCTCCTCGATGCAAGCAACTTTTTTTACGCCCCAACGGGCGCAAGGTACATGGAAAGAAATATTCAATAAAAATTACGTATATTTTCTGTAATTCCGGAGCGAAATGTGGTTGCAGGAAATTTTTCGGAACTGTCACGGAATTTTTTCGGAGCGTTCCGTAATTTTCATCTGAATCTCCTGTAAAAAATTACGATACCGTCACTTCAATTTTCTGAGTCGATTCCGTAATCGGTGAGTGAATTGTGAGTTCCGTAATTTTTACTGAACATTTCTCTCCGTGTACACATTTCCCTCCTGCATGGGGGGGGGGGGGGGNGGGGGGGGGGGGGTAAAATTGAGAAACCTTACTCAGGTGCTCACCACCCGGGCTTACCACCTGGGCCCGTGGGCAGGACTCCTTTATTTTACCTCTCTACGTTAGAAATGTACTATTTTCAACGAACTTTCCTCTACACGGAGAGAAATTTTTTAGAAAAATTCTAGTACGGGTACTGGAAAAAATTACAATCCACCGGCTGTGAAAAATTCTAGTGCTGTTAAGTTAAAATTTCTTGGTAGTTCTAGTAAAATTTCTGAGGATTTCTGTGAAATTTTCACAGAAATACGGGGAAAAATTCACGTTTTCTCCAATAAAAATTCTAATGCCGGCACTGAAATTTTTTCCTGGCCGTCACTTTGCGTCTCTTTTCCCGTGCTAGCACTAGAATTTTTCGAAAAATGTTCTCTCCATGTACACAACAGGTCTCCATGAAAAATCGACCATCACTTTCGAGTTCCAAGATTCGAGATCCAAGACAAAAACTGAACTTGACTCATCCAGTTCTACCTCTATACTGGTGAATATGAATTCAACTTTACCATGTCCTCCAAGATTTTTATCATCCAATTCAAGTCTATCTGCAGTTATATTGCCACTATAACAAACGCCATGCATACTCTCAAATCTCGTCGTGGTGGTGTAAAGAATTATCATGCTCCTCGGAGCGCAGACCTATTGAAATCACCGATAACTCATTATATTTCTGAGAACGGGAGGAAACGAGGAAATTTCCGGGATGGAAATACTAAAGTACTCACTGTCAAAATATCAGCATTAGGTTCTATGGCCATGGATGCGCCGAACCAGCCATAATCTTTTTTAATCAGTGCGTCATGATTGACTGAACTGATGAAACCTCTTTCTTCAACGAGTTCTTTAGGTTGGATGCGTACTGGTTGAGATTTTTCTAATTGCAAGTCGTATCTGTAGACTAGACCTGGTTCTTCTACTGATGCTAATTTCGACTTTGGCGCTCCGACAATCAGCCTGATTATTAGATGAGAAACGATATACTAGGATCAAGAACATTAGCAATCCGTTGGTCGTGTTATGAGTGTCACGTCGCAGTTTTCACAATTTCGTGAATAACATTGTTTGTGGACACTAAAATAATTTTGAAAAATTCCACATCTTACACTGAGAGAAAAACAAACGAGTGTTGTTTTGGCCAACAAATAAACACATGAATAATTCCTCTGTTTTTGAAAACAACGACATATTGACAAATATGATCCATTAATAGATATTTCAGAGGATTTTCGTTAAAACCCATTGACAGCTTATTTCCCACTAATTACTTCCGGGAAAAACTACCATCATAAATTGGAGAAAGATCTAGGAATAGGAATCAGTGAAAGATATTCACTGATACCTATTCCTAGAATGACCTACACTGATAGAAAGGATTATTTATTACGTATAATCGGTCTATTCGGTCTCACTAAATGTTCATTCGTTAATAGTTGACAAATGCACATTTGAGAAGGCTTGTTTGACTCGATTTTCACCTTTCAAGTGAACCATTCGTTAACTGTTAGCAAATATTCATTTGGTCATATTCAACTCTACCATTCGTTAATAGTTAACGAATCTCGTTTGGAATAAATGAATCAGTCTATCAGTGTAGGTTTAGAAGTCAGTATGAAAATCCTCTTGCTTTAATTCCTATTACTCACCATGTGCCTTCTATGACCAGAAAAATTATAGTTTTTTATGGATTCACCTCCTTACTTCTTATTCAAACCAGCCTGATCAATCACTCGGTAGAAGTAATAGGAAATTATGGAGGTTTGGACAATAACACACCTATTTTCCTATTACCTTTCATTTTTTCAATAGGAATTGAAGATGTTTTTTCACCAGGGTCGCTCACACAGTAAAAAATCCGGCGTGGACTTCTTGGGACACCATTCAGTGTTGAATTAACACCAGATTTTACACACGATGTCCTATGGTGCGGTGTTATTTTAACACCGCAACTCCACACCAAAAACAGTGTGAACTCATTGGGACACCGATCGGTGTCAATTCAACACCAATTTTTTTACAGTGCAAGCAAGAGGGGTATGATTCACACGAGAGGGTGCCTTTTCAGGATGAAAATATCTCATGTAGAGGGCAATTTATCAAGACATATTTTGTCTCCAAGTTACAAGAGTGCTATCATCTCATTATTATCATTTCATTTAAGCATTCATCTCTTATCTGTGATTATTGAATAGCCGAAACCAAAAACTACTATCTTGGTTTTCTACTACTACCTCGCTTCGCATAAAACGAACATTTTTCGGGAGTAAATCTGTTCCACTGCATCAAATATTCTCACGTGGAACATGTAGTTTTTCGGCAGATGACGCAAAACTAGATGTGGCTTCGTTCGACCCTAAATAATAGAGCGGTAAATCCCTCGCGCGACGACCAATCGCAAATTCGCATGTGTTGACCAATTAGGGTTAAAACGGTGTAAGACGTACCACGTGAATTTAAATGTCAAACTGAAACTGTATGATTTTGTCAAATGTAACTAATTAACGACGAAAACTAACAATTCTGTAGCGAAGTGGTAAACTAGGATAAGTGCACAAATGGAACTTTTTCCGGAGAGTTAAAAAAGTTGGCCACGTTTGACGGAACATTTAATTCTAGCAATAGAAAAATTTTCAAAAAAATAGAACTTATCCTAGTTTACCACTTCACTACAGAATTAGAAATGAACATTTTTGAAATATTTGGATCTTTTATCCACGAATCCTGGGTAACCCCGACTGCTGGATACAAATACCCTACATTTCGCTGTTCTTGAATTTAATTTAAATTTCTCAATTTTATAAATTAAAAAATATTGCCGTATAAGGGAAGATGCCCAATGGGAAGTCCCCTGCATCAAGGTGAGCACCCACAATATTATGGGTTACCTCAAAGAGGTTCAAATTCATTTAGACCTTGTTATGATGCATTCGCTAATTGCATCGGAATCTAGTTCCACCGAAAGTCTTTCGATATTTTCTCCAAAACGTTTCAGCTCCGAAGATATTGATAATAGAATCAGCATAAACTTGGAAGTATTCTTAGAAAAACATGTCGTCTGATGAAAAATATTGGATGATCTTTTCTATAGTTCGTTGAATTTCCTATCAGAATGGTCCTCGAACTATCAGTATCGGAAACATTTGTAAGAAAAAGAGAAATTGATTCTAAGATTTTCTGCAAAAAAGGTGGACTCTTTTGACATTTTACCCGAAAATTAGTCGTCCCCATATGATAATCATTGGATTAATCAATATTTCATAAGTGACTTTAATAATTACAGCATCACTCACGAATTATCAAATTATCTTCGTGATGGATGACTTCATGAAAATATACCAAAAGATTTTTTTAATTGGCCATTTTTATAATCAACAAAATTTCCTACAAACATTATCTTTTAAGAAGATATTGATAAAATAATATGTAAATTGGTTACGAAAAAAATCGTTCATCTCTCTCTAAATTGAATTCGCTTTGAATTCTCTGTTGAATCAGTCGAATTTGTATTCGTATTATTCAGTACTTACCATGATTTAGGTGGATTTTGTTGAGCATGAAGAACAATACTGTATCCAAAATGGGAAAGTGTTGAATCTTGCAACATTGATGAGGGTTTCTCATGAATGTTATAAGCCGAAATCACAATTGCACGTAAAATAAACAAAATTATTATCAAAATCATATTAATATCGACCACACAACACAAGGCGGATTCGTCATGTGCCAAGAACTGTCGTGAAATGCAATGAAACTGACTCAAATTGACTCATCTGAGAGATTCAAGCACAGGAAACCAATGGGTGATAAGCCAATCATTAGGGTGCTCAACACAATACGTCTGTACTTTTCACTATAAAAAAAAACATTCCAAGGACGTAAAAATACCGCAGATTATCTGAAAATCACTTTATTTCTTCAACAATACCAATCAAAACAATGTACATGAAATATACTCCCCACAATCACGACTTGCATGAAAATTAAACAAACAAAAATTAAAACAAAATACATGAAAGTATTTTATGAAATAAATTAAAAAAGGCACTTCAAATCCTGAAGAACAAACAATGTTTTCAACAATGAATGAACAAACGCTTCTTTTCTAAAATATTATCACAAGATTCCCCTGGCTTTCAGGGAAGCCGCATGCTGCTTTGCTGATCGAGAGTTGAAAGATTCAATGGGGTCATAGCGACTCAATTTTGGACACTGTGAAGGGAGACAATTAATATAAATTAATGAAATTGGTAAACATATTTTATGAATTCAGCTTTGAACAAAATTAAGAGCTCACTTTTAAAATATCTCAAAGAAAGAGTATCATTAAGACAAACTTTATGTTGGACTTATTATTAAGTATAGAAGTTTACTTTGAATAAAAAATTTCACCGGTTTTTCGTTGCAAAGGTTAACTTGCCAACGCGGCCATCGCCCGAGGGCCTTCAGCCAGGAAATGTTGAATGTGGAGTGGATTTTTCAGTTGAAAATTCCGTGGAATATTTGGTTTGAAAATTGGGTTGAATTTTCAGTTCAATATTATGTGGAAAATTGTGACGAAAAATTGGTGTGGAATTTTGGCCCGGGCGGGGCTCGAACCGGGAACTTGAGGTTGTGAATCTCATGCTGCTACCAAGTGCGCCACACAGCCGGGTTACTTTGAATATTTTTGTTTTTGCTTCCGAATGCCTTGTATTTGACCGATTTTTCGATTTTCTGATTTTGATTGCAAATGGTCTAGAATGTTATGAAGCGTGAAGAAATGATGTCTTTAGGGTCATGTCTGTGTGTACGTTGTGACAACTTGTTCCAATACTTTTTAGTACTTCATTAGTTAGCGTTCAAATATTACGTCACGCGATTAGGGAGGGAGCGGGGTCGGCATTTCGTGCCGACTGCGACGTAGGGGGGAGGGGGTGGGCTTAGATTGTGATATCACACCATATTCTTTTTTTTCCAATTTCAAACATCAGAAATGCATCTTTTCGTCATTAAGTTCGTAAGGCAGCGTTTCGCTAATCGATGTCTACGGACAAATGGCAAAAAATATTCTTTCGGTCTAGTGACGAAAAGTACTATTTATCATCCATCCTTCCCACAAAATGAAACCCCAACATCAAACTGGAAAGAAAGCTAAAAATGTGAGGTTTATTATGCATATCTCTGCAATTCGAAAGATCAACAGCGACACTGTAGTGTAATGGCAGTTATTCCAAATGTGCGTTTTGTGCGAATTGCCGTCAACCATTAAAAGGAACTTTTGGCAATCGCATGTAATATTGAAGACGACGAAGATGAAGAATGGATTTGCAAACAAATTATTTTTTGAATATTGTGATAATAAGTTGACATATTCAGAAAGTATCGAAGAAAGAATTGATTATTCACGTGATTTTTTTTTACACTAAAAAAATGAATACAAAATTGTTCGCTACATAAAGGCAGGGGGGGGTTGTTGATTTTGTGACGTAATATACAAGAGGGAGCTCACGCTTGTGACGGAGGGGGGAGGGGGGGTCTAAAATCTCCGAAAAACGCGTGACGTAATATTTGAGTGCTCTCATTATTGATCAAAACGAAAATGATTAAACCCCATTTTTAATGGAAAAATGTCATGGAAAAATGTGTTTCATGAAACCATGTGCGTAATGAAGGGTTAATCTACTATGCATAATATCAGTTACTTATTTTTTCGTTCGCGATTCATGAAAAAACTACTGAATAGATTTCAATCGGATTCTTACTGTAACTATGAGTATGCAAAAAAAAATTATGGAATATCTCTTCGAGAACGGTTTCTTCATTTTTATAATCTCCAAATTTTGTGACTTTCTTCATCTTATTGGAAAATGATAAAATTATTCATAAGGAAATTCCGAGAATGCACTCTGCAATTTTTTTATTTTAAGAAATTATCGACTTATGGAAACTTCATAATAATTTTCTTTCTATTCTGCCCGAGCAACGCGTCAAAGGTGGTTAGTATATTATGAATAATTACAAATAATGAATTCCCACGAAATAGTGTACTCACTCCAGACTCCGTTCTTATCATCAACGCCTCCTTCATTTTGGCACTCAAATGCTTTTCTCGCTCCTCATGATTGGGATGAGTAGACAACCAGGGAATGTCCTTTGGCTCTACTTTGAAATCCGTCAACATTTGCATGATTTTCCAAAAGACAACAGCCTCTCTGACATCGAAACACGCCCTCGCAGCCAACCTAATTCCCAGCTCATCAGCCTCGCTCTCTGCCTTTCTGCTGTGAGGCAACGTCACGAGAACATCTATGAGGCTGATCCCCAAAGCTTGAACCAGAAGAGCGAGTAAATCCGGAAACGTCGCCCATAGAATAGCGATCGGTGCTGCCAACAAAATGTCCAATAAAGCGTTCCTCGACACCTGTTCAATGGGATGTTGTAACAGCACATGGGCCATTTCATGTGCCAAGATTATAGCCAGTTGATCGTCGTTCTCGGTGATCTTGAGAGCCCCCAGAAATACAAAAATATTACCACCTGGTAATACATAAGCATTCTTATCGTCGGAATCCACCACCGACAATGTCCAGTGTCTGTCTGTAACCTGTGGCAAATCCTGATTGGCTTTGATCAGACGATCTGTTATTCTCACGAGTCTGACGTACGCTGGATGATCAGAACGGACCATCGAGTCTTGATGCAGCTCCAGATGAACGTCGAAGGTCAGTTTTCCTAGGACTTTTTGCTGCTCTTTTGTGAGGATTATGAAACGATATCTACCGGTTAACGGATCTCTCTCTATGTGGGTCAGGTAGAAGAGGAGAAGACCTGCCAGAACGACGCCCAAGGCTCCTGGAAGGTAGACAGCAAAATCGGACAACTTCGTTATTGAGGTAGGTACAGTAAATTTTTTTGTTAAAAAATAGGTGAAACATTTTTTGTCAGCAATCCATTTCGCCAAGCATATACTAGGCTTAGGAATATTTCAAGTTTATCTTAGCTTATGAATAAAGAATATTGTTTTATATATAAAATGTATAAAATAATAATAATACTTTTTTATATCAGTAGAAAAGCGGTAATACAGTTGAAATCGATTTTGACTATCTTCCAGTTTTCAATGAATATCTCAGAATCTAAGGGAGGTGGCAAAATTGTGACATTTCGTCATGTTTCGTCACACGCCGTTTACGGACATTGTGAAGGAATAGTATGTTTTGTCATTAGGCCGGAAAAAAACTTTCCTAGGGAATATGAGTTTGCCGCCCGAGCCGAAGGCGAGGGTTGCAAACATATGAGTTTATGTTCGTCACTCGGCCGAAAACAACTTTCCGTGCTGACCTTCACTTTTCCCAGTCCGGGGATTGGTATTGACCCTTCCCCGAACTAGCAAAAGTGAAAGTCACTACGGAAATAGTACATTACATGCCCGAGCCTTGGAAAACAGTGGGGGACAGTGATCTGTTTTCCAAGGCTCGGGCATGTAATGTACTAGTTCGCGCCGAGTGCCACAGGGGCTTTCAGCTCGTGTGATTGGCACTCGTGTGAGTGCCAACCTCACACTCGCTCCGCGTGCCTAAAAGTCCAATTTCCGCCACATTGTGATGAAAAATATTATTCGTAACTCGTGAAAAAATGTATTTTAGCTCGTGGGATTATATCACTCCCCTTCGGATCATGATATAAACCTCCCACTCGCCAAAAAACACGTTTTTGCACTCGTTACGAAATATACTATTTCTGACGAATATGAATTTGCAGCCCGAGCTGAAAGCTCGAGTTGCAATTATATGAGCTAGAAAATTTTTTTTAGGCCGTGTGACGAACAATATTTTTTGTCATAACGGCTGTAAGCAGTGATTCACGGATGCGTAGCGTCCGTTCTTGAACTAAAAAGTTTTCTCACTTAAAATAAATGGGTTTTTGATACTGAATTTTCGAAACTTTCCTTATAAAATTGAGTAATCAATTCCTCATTCTCTCCACAATGCCCTCTAGAGCCATGAATTTCTAGAAATCAGTAACTCGGTTCGGAATACTAGCAACTTCTTTACTTCGTGAAAAGAAATCGAGAATTTGATTCAACGATACAGTGCTAGAGAGATATGAATCAAATAAGGGCTAAAGCGATATGAATCAAATTAATTCAGTAATGGAGAGGTCAAGGACATCCAGTTGAGAAAAACAGCTTTTTCATGGAAGACACGTATGGAAAAATTTAATATAAAAACTTGGCAAATTCGCCAGATAATTCTATTGAATTTCTATTGAACTTTCTATTAGTTTTTGGTCGATTCTATTGAAATGTTCAATAGAAAATATTCTATAGAAAAAATCAGTAGAATTCGATTTTTCTATACAACTTACTCTATTGAGATATTTTCTATAGAATTTCCTTGGCTCAAATTTTCATTTTTTTTTATTTTCTTGGTGAAAAGAAAAGAAAAATAGACTGAAAGAGACCTAGGAAATTTGAGCCGAGAAATTTCTACAGAAAATTGTAACGGAATTTTCCATCTGGGACTGGAAAACCACGTTAACTCGCCCATTTCCCCTAGACTGAAAAAACTCAAAAAAAAAAACTTATCCATGGGCGCCAGCCGTCCTTTGACCTCGGAGACGACAAACCGAATAAACGAACCTCAAACGAAAAACAAAACGAAAGAACCAAAAAATAACCATTAATCTAACACAAACTTAAAACTAAGGAGTCCAGAAGAAGGTCATAGGTTGTCCGCGCTGCTCAGGGGGTTGGTTGTGGAGAGAGGGGTAGGTTCGGATGGAAAAGGGGCCAATAGGTATTGCTAAAAAAATAACAAATAACGTAACTCGAAACACCGGAGTTAATGTTGTATAATATACCGAGGTCATATTTATGAAAAAAATATGAAAATGATACACAATTGTCTCAAAAAATATATCCAAAATATATCCAAATAATTTAGCAAAGAAAAGGAAATACATACCGACGGCGGTGGCTGTGTGGTTAGAGTGTGGGATTGGCATGCGGGAGACCCGGGTTCGATTCCCGGCTGGGGGGGGGGGGGGGGGGAAAATTTNCATTTGGGAAATTTCTCGAGTTTTCGGACCAATTTCACATAAATCTAAAAAAATAGCGGAAATTTCATGACACTGAAGTTAGCGGACACAAGCCCAGCACAAATAGCATTAGTTCTTGGAGATTGTACGATCAATCTAGTATCCCAACACAAGGAGAGTAAAATACTAGAATTCTGATAAAAATTCTGGTACTGCCCATAATCGAGAAACAAAATCTCGGTACTTATCAAATATATTACGTAGCCAACCGACGGCGGTGGCTGTGTAGTCAGAGTGTGGGATTGGGATGCGGGAGACCCGGGTTCGATTCCCGGGGGGGGGGGGGGGGCAAAATTTGTGACACTCTAAATCTCACGGTTTCATTGTCGAGCGGGAGTCTCGCAAGAGACGACTGTACCTGGGCAGGTTTTTCCCTCAACATGAGGTTTTCCTTTGTCCTTCGGCGAATGCGCTACAGGGGGTTGGGGGGTGGGAAGGGAACAAATCGTAAAGACCCGAAAGGGTATACGAGAAAAAAAAAGCAAACACTAAATTAACTCAAAACAACTAATCTAAAAAAACTGAGAGTAAGAGCACAATAAAACAGAATAATTCCACAAAAAGAAACATATTCTTCAATACTCAATAATTATTGAACAGACAAAGAGCCAGAGGACAAATGTCTAACGTGAACTTCAATCCTACGACTCGAATTCTCGTCAACGCCACGAAATCAAATTAAATGTGAAACGAATCCCATGAAATCTAACACGCGTCCACGTATAACGCAAAGAGAAAATCACGACTCTAATCAACTCACGTTAACCAGCAACATTCTCACCGTTCGGCGCAAAACCCGAATAATAAAAAAAATGGAACGGACCCGAGATCGTACGGAATCGAACAGCCGAATACACCACCCGTATCCCCACGTAATCCGAACGTGAAATTCTCATAATTATGCACAAAAAAAGGAACAATCGAACTCCACAATAATCCTCAAAAGAGTTCTGTGGCACAACTCCGGATGGTTACGAAACCCATGCGGCAACGCGAGTCGAAACCCAAAATCTCATCTAAGCTTCTGTTAGTTGCAAAATTCTCCCCAGAGGGGCATCGCCCAAAGGCACTCTGCCCAAAGGCCATGGACTCGATAAGGTCTAGTCACTGACTCCTCGAATACTCGACTACTCTTCTCAACTAACTGAATACGCAAAAATCGCTCAATTTATACCCCAAAAGTGAAAAGAGAACGAGTATCTAACGCCAAAACATAAAACAAGAGCATTATATCCACGTAGTGGGATCAGCCGCTGTGACGTAAGCAAATGTCCAGCGCTACGTACGATGGAGCTGCTGAAAAGACACGTCAACCTAATAGCCATAAACGCATAATTCGATTCAACTTGAACCGACAACAGACCAAAGCAACAAAAGAAAAATGAAACGGATTAAAAGGGCGGTAATTAGTCCAGATAAGATCCACTAACTATCATTACCTCTTCGGGGTTGCATTCTCAAGGATTAGCGGCGCAGAAACGCATGATACACCAAAAACTATAATTCAACAGAACACATAATGCACCATAATACAAAACTTGATCCTCTAAAACTTATAGCGAACTTGGCAATGCACACGGTTGCAACGGTCGCGATTGGCCGTGTGACCTTCCACATCCCGATTAATCCATATACTGAGCACCAGCATTTCATCTGGGCCTCCACACGTCCCCGAAGATTAAACCGTAAGGGAGAATTCCTGTCAATAATCGCGTAGCTCGATAATATTTTGGCCCAAACAAATACTTATTCATACTCCTAACACACATCACAAAAATATTACCCGAAAAAAATCATACCTACCCGTCAATATATTCGAAATGTGAAACGATCATCGAAAGATAGCTAATACGAAATTCTGCTTGTCAAAAATTATATACAATAAACGCTCTGGGTCTTTGTCTGACTCACGCTTAATCCGACGTTCTCGATGGTCTCTAGATCGCCTAAGGAATTCCCAGAATTCCTTACAAAATATAGAAATCATTAGAATAAGTTGTTTAGAAACATCGATTACCTGTCAAAATGCCACATGTAAATTCTTGGGACCTTTAGGGTCATAAGGGCCATAAAGGTCAGCAAGGGGTACAGCAAGGTTACGAGGGTCAAGAGGGTCAAAATCCCTTATTTAATTATTTGATTATAAGTTTTAAATGTTAAGGGGAGACTACTGTGAGTTTTAAAAGTCGTGGGTTATTGGAGTGAGACTTCATACATTGAAGATTGATTATATAGATCTGAAAACGAATTAGTGCAAAAAAAAATTTTTTTTTATTGTTCATTTGCCCGAAAACGCTTAAAATGCCAAAAACAGTTCAGGGCCTCCAATTTTTGAACTACGAATGATTTTTTTTTCAAAATTTTCGGAAAAATATGTGGAATAACAATTACGAGGTAGTTTTTTTTAATTCACCTCCTACATGGCTAAATTTGCTTTTTTTGTATTTTTTTACACAAATAGTGAATTTTTTTATATGAAAAAAAAAGAAATCAGCTGTGTAGGAGTCGAATTCCAAAAAACTTGCTCGTAATTATTGTTCCACACATTTTTCCGAAAATTTTGTAAAAAAAAATGTTTTGTAGCTCAACAATTGGAGGCTCTGGATTGTTTTTAGCATTTTAAGCGTTTTCGAGCAAACGAACAATAAAAAAAATTTTGTTTTGCACTTATTACTCGTTTTCAGATCTATATAATCGATCTTCAACGTATGAAACATCTCACTCCAATAACCCACGATTTCTAAAACTCATAAGAGTCTCCCCTTAACATAAACAAATTCAATACAAAAAAAAATCAATACACACATTCAACACAATTTCAACAGTTTTCGAAATCAATAAATATTTACTTTTGGCATGAGAATTAATTTAATGAAAAATCAAAAAAATATGAACAATACAGTGAATTGCATCAATAAATTCAATAAATTAATATCAAATTACAATTAAACTAATCACAACAAAATAATATCTTTATTAAATTGTATTAAATCTGCATTCAATTACAATTACCTCGGCGATCCAGGCAGTCGACTACTCTGAGTCATCCTGTGACTATCCCTCGATTATTATCACAAGTAGGTAAGGATTATTGAGGTCACACAAAACTTCAAATACACATACACAACTACACACGTGTTAAATTTGTATATGTTAAATTGTCAAGTGTTGAAAATGCATCTGGTAAATCTGTGTATTGAAATTTACGTGTGTTATTTTGACCGGTAACCGAAAAATTGAATTTTATTAACTTTCCCTTTAGAATATTTTTATTATTGAACATTTCAATAGAAACAACCAAAAACTGAGAGAAAATTCAATAGAAATCCAATAGAATTGTCTAGCGAATTCGCTAGGTTTTCCTGTTAAATTTGTTCTTGTGTGGATCAATCCATAAAACTTTCGCTAAAAAAATCAAAATCGAATTGAACTGATTCATGTCATTCAACTACCTACTTCACTCCTGAAATACTAAAAGCATTCATTTCCACCCGCTCTCCATTAATAAAAATATCTCACCATAGATTTTTTGCCTCCTCGCACTGAACCATTTTCTATATGCCTCCTTCTCCTCCGGAGTTTTCCTGGCCCACCACCTCTTGAGATACCTTCCAAACAAAAAGGCTCCAACTCTGGTAAGAGGACGAATCAATAACGCAAGCCCCGGTGGTATATCCCGACGCTGTGTCGTATGGAATTTACATTTTTTCACTTTGGTATTGTCATTACCCCCTACCAACACTCTAACCCGTGGTAACAACTGCCTGTAACTCCCGATTAAACGACCGGAAGTTGATTTACGGAAAACATTAAGTACTGTCCGTCTTTCCTTCAAAACACACAAAGTCCTAAGCAACATTTTTCCAACGTTATTTCTTTTGATAATCAATAGAAACTAAATAAACTCGACAAACACAGTGTTATCTTCCAATGTGATCATTAACTACTGGCTAGACGTGATTTATACACGCCGCGAGAAGTAGTAAATGAAATCCTAATCGTGCGTGATAGTGGAACATGACTCCAGCCGCAATACCATACTGTGCAGCGGCACAGAGCATTTTCCTTGAAAAAAATATCTCGATCAATTTGAGCCAAGTGGGTCTCTGTCTCTCCTGAATAACCAGAGTCTGTGATGTTTGAATTGTCGTTGAGAGGCAGACTAAACTACCTCCATTAGGATGAAACTTATATTGCCATGACATGACCAATTTATTGATTAATTGATCACCAATATCCTTTTTTCTATTCTGATTAATATTTTATAATAATCTGGAAAAATATAAGAACAGAATTCATCATCAATGAATGTCATGAGAATATTGACAGCAACATAACCTAGAAAATTATATTTCATCGGCTTTACCTTGGAATAAAAATTTTCGAGATGGGTTAAATTTCGACAAATGGAAAATTATCTTTCCCTGTCACCAAGTGCTCCCCCGAATACTCTGTGCCCTGTTCCTTCTACATCCTCTCCGGATGTTTATCCTTGAGTCACTGAGGCATTCAGCACAAATCGTACAGTCCAGTACAGTCGCAGTTTTTATCAGGTAAAGCTAGTATTCTTGAAATTCAACGATTCAACTTACACATTCACCAGAATACTAATATAAGGTGCAATGCCGAACTATCGAACGCCTCCGGCATGTGAACTAGCGATGGAGGTTGAGGGCGATACGTAAACAACCACTCGAAATCAGCTGATCTGTGTCAGAATGTGTGTCGTAAGGGATAAATAAATTAGGGGTTTATTTTAATGGTTTTTCAGCTTTTTACTCAATTACCAATGGTTTCAAAGATATTGACAAATGTCTGAAACAACGAAACATTAGCGACATCGAAAAAACGGAATTTTTTTACGAGTTTCATTCATCATTGATTGATCGGCGGAGTTCCCTCAAGTTTCCCTCTCGAAAATTCAATAACAAATTGGCTCCATTCCCAGTAAAATTGAATTTCCGCCCCCACCACCAGCGCCACCGCGTTCGACCATTCTTCATTGATAACAATGCTCAATTGTTGTGTCAAATTTATGTTTCTGTTTACTATCAAGAGACCATGCATCCCATAAGTTATAAAATTGACAATATCAAGGACTTTTGAATGGAATTTATTTATTCCAAGTTGGTATACGTCTTCCCGTAGTTATCATGCCCTGGAAAACCCTGTAATATTGTCTTTAAAACCCACAAAAAATTATTCACCTACAACATTTAAATCCTCAATATTTTATTTGAAAAATAATTTCCAAATTTTCTCCGTGATGATTTGCAAAATCCAATTCCTGAAAAATTGTGTCTGCCACGTTCACCCACTCTTTGTTGATAATAATGCTCAATGGTTGTGTCATATTTATGTATCTGTTTACTTTAAAAAGACCGTTCATCTTATAAGTTGATAAATTGCCAATACCACACGCACGAAAAAATTTAATAGAAAAACCTATCGAATTCGTTAGAAAATTCTATTGAATTTTTATTGAACTGTTCTATTCTGTTCCTTTGTTATTGAAATGTTCAATAGAAAATATTCAGTAGAAAAAATCAATAGAATTAAATTTTTCTATATAACTTATTCTTTTCATATATTTTCTATAGAATTTGCTCGACTCAAATTTTCTAAGTTTTTTTTTCATTCTATTTTTGTTCTCTTTTCATCAAGAGCATCAAACGAAAAAACTTGGAAAATTTGAGCCGAGGAAATTCTATAGAAAATATCTCAGTAGAATAAGTTATATAGAAAAATTTAATTCTATTGATTTTTTCTACTGAATATTTTCTATTGAACATTTCAATAACAAAGGAACAGAATAGAACAGTTCAATAAAAATTCAATAGAATTTTCTAACGAATTCGATAGGTTTTTCTATTAAATTTTTTCGACCTTGCAAGGATTTACCAATAGAAGTTATTCCTCCCAGGCCGTTTTACATTTTCCAGTAGTTATCATTCCCTGAAAATCGCTCTATACAATTGTTGTTGGATTATCTGGTTCAATTTCCGAGAAATCAGTAGCGAAGTGGTAAAACGGTATAAGTCAATTTTGACTATTGACCAGTTTTCAATGAATATCTCGGAATCTAAGGGAGATACAAAAATTGTTACTATAACCTTTTTTGTAGAGCCGCCTGAGTGCTACAACAAATGTAATTACGAAAAATTCGCTATCTCCCTTAGATTCGGAAATATTCCTCAAAAACTCAACTGGGAGATAAGTCGACTTAAACCGTTTCACCACTTCGCTACTGAAATGATTTGATGAGATTATGAGTTCAAAAAACGAATCGACGAAGAGAACACCGGATAATGAAATATAAACATAAACAATGATTTCATAGGGAAAACGAGCTAAGGGGTCTTTGACTTTAGGTGACGATATTCTTTTGGTCCTTATGAGTGGTTTTTAGTCTGCTGGAGCAATTCGTACAGTACACTGACAAAAAAAATGTCTAAGAAATAAAAATCCTATGATTGATCCAAATCGTTCATCGATCGAATAGTCGCAAAAGAAAATGCTATTATAACACACAAATATCGATTCAATTTTAATGTTTTCGATTGAAAAAGAATGAGATCAGTTATTTAAACTTATTTTTTTGTTACTATTTACTTTTCAGTACATACAAATCAATGTCTGTATTATCAGATATCTTCTTCGAATAAAGTATGTAATTATCCAATTTATCAGCGTCACGATATCCCGCAAAAGAATATCTGTTCGATTGAAAGCAGAATTCATAGATGCAATAGAATATTCATTTGGTCTATGAGGAACATATTGTTGGATACTCATTGATGCGAGACTTTCGCGGTGAGCAGTTTCTTGTTTACGACAAACGCAATTCTTCATCATTTGAACGGATTATTTTTCCATTGCAATTGTGAAAAAAAATTATTTGCGCCAAATCCGAAGCGTTTGAACTAAACCAAAACTGAATTGTATGAAATCGATTTTGTCCCAGATGTATTTTCTAAATTCGATAGAATAAACAAAATATACTATACTATAACAAAATCGATTTTATACAATCCAATTTTGGTTTAGTTCAAATCGATATTTGTGACTTACAATAGCATTTTCTTTTGCGACTATTCAATCGATGAACGATTTGGATCAATCATAGAATTTCTATTTCTTAGAAATTTTTTTTCTCAGTGTACAGACGTTTTTTTCTCATGCGTTTTAAAAAAAAACAGAAATTAGATTTGAATTCACTGCGTTTTACTTAATTCAATTTCCCATTTCCAATAATTGTCTTCAAAACTAAAAAAAAAAACATTCACTCCCAACATGTAAATCACTCAATATTTGATTTAAAAAAATTGGGTAAACAGGTCAATTTCTGGACGGGGATTAGTTTTTGGACGATTTCAATTAGCATTGAATATTCCATAAATAAAATGAAAATTATACTGATTATTGCACCTTTCAATAATTTTACTCTTGTATAATCATGCGATTAATTATTTTTTCTATTAATCAACACTTATTAAATAAAAAATATGGCCCAGTCGTCCAGAAATTAGGGGGTTCGGCTGCATTCAATTATTCTTTGTTTTGCTATTTTCACATCAAATAGTATATTGTGCACCAAGGGCGGAAAGTCGTGTTTTCCCCGCCCGAGGTGCACATGCTATTTTTTAACACACCTGCAAAGGAAAAATATTTATTTTCTGCTCATTAAAACATTCTTGACGGTATGGAAGCCATCATATCCCCATTCAGGTGATTCCTTTTTTTAGATTCTACCACGAAACTCGAATTTCCCTCAACCGTCCAGCAATTGGCCTGTTCGCCCTATTTCAAAACGACAGATAACAAAATTCAATTCCTGAGAAATTGTTTCCGCCCCCCCCCCCCCCCCCC